AGCCCACTATGACTCCGAACTCCTAGGCTCAAACAATCCTCCTGCCTCAGCCACAGTGCCCAGCTTACTTTTTCTATTTTTAGTAGAGACGGGGTCTTGCTCTTGCTCAGGCTGGTTTCAAGCTCCTGAGCTCAAGCGATCCTCCTGCCTCAGCCTCCCAATGTGCTAGGATTACAGGTGTGAGCCACTGAGCCTGGCCAAGTTGTATTGCTTTTGCTCTAGCTTTCCTGGCTAAATGTGTGCAGGCTGATGTATGGATACCAACCTCTTCCTTGTTCCTTGTTCCCATAGTATCCACAGCTATTTACAGGAATTCTTTCCCCCTGGAAAGGACTACTGCTGTACGGCCCTCCAGGTAAACACATCTTTCTATTTTGGTCTTGGTGTTAAGTGTGTGTGCCATGGATGAGTTGCTGCCTTCTGTCCTGACTTCAGGATCAGGCAAATGAGAACTGAGTAGCCACTTCCTTCGAGTGTGAGACTGACTTCCTTCTGTAAGCAGAGCAGTGGAGTTTAAGTGCCACTCACCTTTTATCCACGTGTGTCTCTAGGTACAGGAAAGACTTTACTGGCCAAAGCTGTGGCCACTGAATGCAAAACAACCTTCTTTAACATTTCCGCATCCACTATTGTCAGCAAATGGAGAGGCGATTCAGAAAAACTTGTTCGGGTAGGAATTCTTTAATTTTGCTTTTAAAAAATAAGTTCTAGCAGAATATGGTAGTACGAAATAAAGTTAGAGCTTATTTGTTTGTAAGTGATTTATGTGTTCGATTTTATCTTGCTCTTGATTACCAAAAGCCTGGGAAATGGATTGACTATTATATGTGGATATTAATCACGCCCCCATCAGCAAAACATGATCTCCCTTCCTTTGGGAATTTGACCAACAGCCTTTTTCTGATTCATGCAACTTAGGAATGGAAGCTGGAAAAAAAAGATACTGTAGTCTCTGAAGTGGCCTATGTTTTCTTCGTTCGAGAAGCATCTATTATTAAACACGTACAATAGATTCAGTTAACATTTATTGAGAGGCTACTACTGTGTGCTCGTCCCTATACTAGGTACTCTAAGGAAGAATCAAGACAGTTGAAACTTAATTATTCTAGTATATGTTCTGAGCAACTTTTCCTCC